GTTCTGATACTTGAATGTCCCAAAAGTTTCTGTAAAAGGGGTAAAGGTAAACCTGCCTCCGCCTGATAAGTAGCAAAAGAACGCCGTAAGGTGTGCGGAGTTAGTTCGGTGTCTTTATCAATTCCTAACTCCTTTTTAACTTTCTTTAAGAAGTGATAAAAGTTTCAGCGGTTAGTTTGATTAGGTTGTCAATGGTTTTTCTTTAACTCTTTTATGACTTCCTTGGGAACATAAACCAATCTTTCTTTTTTGCCCTTTGGCTTACTTATCCGATATAAACCCTTACTAGTTCTAGCATTTAAATCAAACTTTACTGCCTCATTTACCCTTAACCCGCTTTTATAACCTAATAAGAATAAGCCGTAATGAACTCTCCGCTTGCTTTCTTTACGCTTATTAGGAATAGACCTAACCTCCCAACTAACTTTTTCTAAAAGTTGCTGAGTAGGGAGCATATATAGTCATTTTAAACTCTTAAATAAGTCTAGTTTCTTTTAAAACCAAACTAAAAAACCTAATAATCCTTAACTTCCCAAATAACTTTAACCAGCCTTCAACAAGTTATTCAAAACCTTTATTAATCTTTAATTCACCTTTATTTACATAATGGTCTTTTGGTTAAAAATAAGTTTGCGAGTTCTTTTAATTTCTGCCCCTCCTCGGTTGGGGTTTTGCTTTTCATAAAACTTTTTCAAGAGCCAAATAAGAAAAGAGACACAAGAGATAAGTTTTGATAGACTACTAGACATCTAAACCAATCCTTACAAAAGAAAATTAATAAATAAAAGAAAGGGTAAAAATGGGACTTAATGGCTATTTTTACTTATAAAATAAGTAAAGGGTGAAAAGAGAGCAAAAAAAGCGACATAATTCACCCCTCGCCTCACTTCGGAACTAAAATAAATATATAGGTTAGTATTCTCCTATATGCAATTCTCATTTTGAGAGGTCGGCAAGTTTAAGACTTTTCAACTACGGCTTTATATCAAAGCATTTCCGTTATTACTCTAACTGGATTACCAGTTTCATAATGGTCTTGTTAGGTTTACGGTTGATTATTGCCCTAATGGCGTAATCACCACTAGTTTGAATAGCAACTTAGACTTCCGTATTAGCTCGCCATCAGTCTAGTTTCTTGTTCTGAACTGATGGTGGGAACAATGAGTTAATTTCCCAAAAAAAGAAATAAAAAAATCCTTATTTCCTTTGTTCGAAAATTAATTTTACTTGAAAATCGACTCTTTTCTTGCTAAAAAAACGGCAATATTCTCCTCCTCTTTTTAATAAAGTAAAGCCAAAAAAAGTAAAAATTTTCCTCTCTTTTCTTTAAGTTCAGAATATTTTTATTGATTTTTTGTCAAGAATTAGTATAAGCAACTAGTTCTTGGATAACTGGCGAAGTTTCCATGATTATTTACTTTTTCCAACCAACCAGTTCGGAACTAGGAAACTTCGCAAATTCTAAACCGACTGGTTAGTTAGAAGAAATAAACAATCAATTTTTTTTATTCTATTATAATTTTAAGGGAAGTGGTGAACTTCCCTAAACTTTACCTTTTATTTTCTCATCGTTCTCAGCTTTCTCGACAACTACCGCAATTATTCGCTTCGGAACAACATTTAGCACAAGTTAAATTAGTGTTTCAATGTTTATCTCTCGAATCTATTATTTCTATTACTTTGACTTTCTTTTTATAAGTAGAACATTCACGTTATCGTTTTATGCTTGATTAATAATTTATTTTCTCACCAAAAATTTCACTTATAAAGTGTTTAACGACTCACACAGTTGTCAATATAACTCCTAAAATAATTAAACTAATGGTTGAACCTCAGATAAAACCATAATTAAGGATTAAACCTGCAATGGTAATTATTGGAATTGCTGTTAAGCATATAACCATTAATATATCTAATGTTCCGTTAACAAGGTCAAATGCCTTGTTTAAATAATTTTCTTTTTTCATGTATAATTAATATTTTACTCCTCAATACTTTCGTTTGTTTTCCTCTTACCTACTAAATAACCAATTATCAATGCCAAACTTACTACTAAAACTCCGCTCAAAATAAGTGGGGTATAACTGAGTTTATTTGGTTGTGTTTCATTCTTTACTGAACTATTTTGAATAATCGCTTGTAATTCATGAGCCTGTTGTCTTTGGGAATTATCACCACTTTTAATCAAATGCTGAGTATATTCCAATAAATCCATTAAAATGGTGCTTTTATAAGAATTAATTTGAATACTTTTATCTTTCATTTTTTCTACTAATTTATTAAACTGCTCACTAGTTAGATTTTGGAGGTTCTTGGCTCTTAATGGGTTATTTCCACAGTTAATTTTCTTTAAATTAGGAAAAGTTTTTAATAATCAGGCTAAATCTAACTCGCTTATTTGGTTGCCAAAAAAGTTAATGCTTTAAAAAAAGCAGGTATTCCTACTAAAATTAAATGATGAAAGGATTGTAAAATAAAAAATTAAAAGGTATATAATGAAATAGAAATGATCATAGGAAAATAATCAAGTCGAAAGGTATACAGAGTTATAAATATTACGAATCACTCAAATTTAAATCATCAATCTTACATTATACTTCATTTGAATAATGACGTTGAATATAGAGATGGTAGGTATAGTCATATTGATGTATATGACTATCAAGCAGATAGATTTGTAGAAATTGACAATAGTAAAACTCGCTATAAAGGCAATGGTCATGAATTTTATAATGATGGGAGTGTGGCAAAACTTACTGACATTAACGTTGCACTTATAGATAGAGCAAGAGCAGAATATGCTAAAGTGCAAAAGCAGACTTATGATTTGCAAAATGATTGGCTAGAAAAAGAAAAATATAACTCTATCAATAATTAATGTCAGTCTAATTCTCACCTAAACCCTCATATTTATTGAGGTTGGTTGAGTAAAAATATTGACATTTAATTTGAGTAGCGTAATATATAGAGCGAAGCAAAGGAGAGTTGATTTTAAGAGAAAAAATATATAAAATTATCAATTTATCTCTTTTTAAATAGAGAGCGATCCATTTAAAGGGAATAAATATCTCACAAAAAAATTTACCAAACAGAAAATATTAAAAAAGTAAAATTATAATATTATGGAAAATATTCAAGTATGATTAAGCAAAAATTACCCTAATCGAGAAGAAATAGAAAAAATTTATATTTCCTATAGAGAAGTAGAAGGAGAATTAATAATTGCTGACTTTCCACAACTAAAAAAAATCGAGATTAACAGAGGTAATGGTATTGCTCACTTATCAATACTTAATTGTCCTCAAATAGAAAAAATAAGGATTTGGGGGGTTGGTTTACAAAGTATTGAGGCTAAGCAACTTTTAGAAAAATTAGAAGTTTTAGACCTTCGTAATAATTCTTTAAATTATATTCCCCCTGAATTTTTACCACTGAACTTAAAAGAACTTGATATTTATGAAAATCAATTTACTATTCTCCCTGAAAACATTAACGAGTTAGTTAATTTAGAAACTTTTGATTGCAGTTTTAATTGAGAATTGTCTGGTGATTTAGATGTTAGTGCCTTTCCTAAACTTACCGGTCTCAATTTAAAGAGTACTAAACTGCCATCCTTTACAACTTCGTTTAACTGAAATGAGTCACTAACTGTTAATTATTTAAAAAGTAGGATAGAAAAATTTGAAAGAGAAAAAAAGGAAAATAGGAGACTACACCCTACTTGGCAACAATTAGATAATACTAAAAAAGGTCGAAATGAAATTGAAAGACGAATTAAAGAGTTTAGTCAAATAATTTCTCAACTGGAAGAGGAAAAACAAAAATTGAATGAGAAAATTTCAGAATTGAAGCCCCGAGTGTCTAGTTATGTGGCTCAAAAAAATTTAAAAACTCCATTAGAATGAAGAGAAGATAATGAAGAGAAGTTAAATGTTCTCAAAAAAGAAAAAGAACAGTTGGAAAAAAATTTAGAAGTTATTTCTAATAAATATAATTCTTTGTTTGATGAGAAAAACAAGTTGCTTGATGATAATCTAAAATTGGAAACGGAACTTTGAAAAGAATTTCAGCACGAAGAAGAATTGATTAATTTAAATGAAAATTTAGAGGTGAGGGAAAGTAAATTAAGACAAAATTTCGAAGAGCAGAGGAACAAATTAGTAGAAGAGATAAAAAATTTGCGTGAATTTCAAAATAAACTTTCTGAATCAGAGGAAGGTTTAAAATCACAACTAAGTTCCTTGTTAGTAACGGTTTGAGAAGTCAAAATTAACGAAACTGATTTGGTGAAAGTCGAAGAACAGTTAAAAGAGTTAAAAAACATTTTTTGACCATTAACCGAAGGAAAATATCCAAATCTGGTCAGTCTAGTCCGTCTTTGTGTCCTAAATATTCAAGAATTTATTGAGCAAGAAAAAATCTTTCAAGTTCAGATGAAACAAATAGAGAAATTAAAGAGTGAAATCGAGACTAAAAACAATGAAATTAAAGAGTTTAAAACAACTATTGATAGTAAAAACAGTAAAATTAGTGAGTTAACAAAAGAACAAAAAAAGTTGAAAGATAACTTGAGTTTTGTCGAGCAGAGAGAAGAATTAAATGATGCTCTTTTGCGAACAGAAATAAAAAGATTAAAAAGAAGAATAGAAGATCAAGAAAAGAACGAGACCAAGGACAAATTCTTGGTTGCCGAAAGTCAAGTAGAAATCATTAAACTTCAAGAAAAAATCGCCGAATTAGTTGACCAAAATACTCAAAAAGAAGTATTAGAAGCACAAGAAATTCAACTGAGAGGTCGTAATTTAGAATTAGCCGAGAAAGTTTTTGATTTAGGTCAAGAGTTAGAAGAGTTAGAGCAAAATAAGGATAATTTAGAGCAAACTAACAAAAATCTAGACCAAGAAAATACTAAATTGGCAATTGAAAAAAGAAATCAACAAGAGATAATTGTCCAACTAGAAGAAAGTTTGATAATTGAGCGGACTAAAAACACCACTTTGGAAGAGATAATAAAAGGTAATGAATATTCCGAGTTAAGACTGCTAGAACAAAGAGATGATTATCGGGAAAAATGAGCCAAAAGCAACAAAAAGTTAGAAGAAGTTGAAAAGGTTAATATCCAGTTGATAGAAAAAGTGGGTTTATTAAGTCAAAGATTGCAGGAAAAGAAACAAAGTTCACCTATCGAGGAAGAAAAAAAGGTAATTAGAGAGAGAAAATTAGAGTTAGAACAATCAATTAATGATACTAAAAATAAGTTGGAAGTAAATTTACAAGACTGACTGGAAATTTTATTGGAGACTTCGAAAGAAGCGAAAAAGGATGAAAGTTGTTTTGTTTTACAGCAATTAGAAAAAGCGAAAAGAAAACTTAGCCAAAGATTAACGGAGTCGGAAATTAAAACTTTCTTGGTTAAGCAAGATGAAGTGAATGAGTTAGAGGAAAAAATAAAACAACTGGATGAGACTCAAAAACTTATCAGTCAGTTAGAAAAACAACGAGAAGAGATGGAGTCAGAACTTCAATTAGAGGCCAAGATAATTAATATGCCCGGTGCCTTTAAATAAATTTAGACAAAAGAAAATAAAAAGATATAACCTCGAATTATAGAAAAGTAGTAGAGAGTTGGGGATTATAAATCTGTTCCAAAAGCAAAAAAGACCGAAAAGGTGGGGAATAATTGACTAAAAGGATAAATATTATGGCTATCAACCGGTTATTGATTGAAGAAACGACATGAAATATCGGATAATTTGGCTTCACATTACAGTCAAAGAACAGTGATTATTGAGAAAAGTTTAAGGGGTTAGTTAGATAAGTTGAACACTAAAAGAGTTAGAAATATGTCAAAATAATCCCTCCTAAAATCAAATCAAAAAAAAGCCTAAATCCTCCTTCAAAACCAACTCTACTCTAACAATACAGTCGGCTGAAAAAGCCCATTCTTAGCCACATTCACTACTTCATTAGCTGAAATTCTCGATAAAAATCCTTGAACTTTTCCATCCATTAGATAAACCGCAATATCCTCATACCGACCATCTGAAGTATTCCTTAAGTAGCAACGTTCTTGGATTACTCATGCTTGTTGGGAATCCATAGTTTCTTTTATCTTGTTCTGTCAAGCACTTTCGGAAAAATTTTTACCAAACTCAACTCCTTTACTTCTTCCTAAATCACCTGGTTTGAGAACCGCTTTAATTTGGGTTAAAAAACTAAGGTTTTGAGGTAGATTGTCTTTTGATAAAGCATAAGTTGGCGGAATTACTCCCATCTCATCCTCATTTTTTAAAATGTTTAGAAATGATTTATCCCCAGCAATAAAAAGTGATTCAAAAGAAGGCAACTGCGGTAAACCTAATTCAGAAATTTTTAGCACTAATGGAGCATGCTACTATTTTGACAAACTTTTCCTCCGAGACTTTTTTAAATGGAAAACTAGTCCGCCAATAGTTAATAAACTTAATATCAACAAACTAATTCAAATGGTTCTTTCCGGTGGTCAGAAGTTATCAGAACTGGTTGGAGATAGGTTAGTTATAGTAGTATTGGGTTGAGGAGTTAAATGTTTAGCTAAGAAAGTTTGCCGAGCCTGAACCACCTGAGAATAATTAATGGCATCTTCAATTTGTTTTTGAATAGTCAAGTCAACTGCTACTCCAAATAATTCCGTTAGGCTAGTTAGTTCTAATTGCTTAATCACTTCTAAATCTTCACCAAATGGGGTATCAAAATTAGGAGTAGGTTTTTGGTTCCTTTTTTCTTCCAACTCTTTCTCTAACTTGGTAATTGTTTCTTTCATCTTTGCTAGGTCTGATTGAGCGGTAGTATCTTTTTCTCATTTAGTAATAGTGATAGGAGGTTTATTTAGTAGTTTTTTTAATTCGCTAATCACTTCGTGGACTGAACTTTCGGGGCTTAAATGATTTAGTTCGGAAATTTCAGCAATAATTGTGGGTAAAACTTGGGCATAATCTCTCACTTTATCTCGCATTGCCTCATATTCTCCTTTTCATTGTTGGGCTTTTTTGAAAAGAGTTTGGCTTTTAGTAGTTAGTCGTTTATTCTTAATTTTATCCTGACCTAATTTTAGGGCTAATTCTCCTACTTTTTTAGCTAAATCATTTTTTTCTTGCTCTAAATCTTGAACTTTTTGAATATTGCGTCATTTTTTTAATCATTCTTTACCGAGATAACTCATTATTATTCCAGTGATAGCACTGTCAAGAGGATAACTATTAACAATTCGGGTTCCGGACTGAATAATTTTTTCCGCAATTGCCGGTTGAGTTGAATGTTTATTTTCAGTTTCTAATTTGGTTAATTTTTTAATTAATTCGGGGATTTGTTTTCCTTGCTTGTTTAAATTATCAATTTGTTCTTTTTGTTCAGTAAGCATGCGGTTTAAAGAATTGATTAAAGTGTCTTTTCGAGTTAGATTTTTGTCTAGCGATTTGTGCTGCCGGTTAGTTTGAGTTAATTGCTTTTTAAGTTTAGTTTTTTGTAGTTTGATTTCCTTTAATTTCTCGGTTAATTTCTGGTATTTTTTTTCTCATTTGGTAGTTTCCTTTTGCTCTTGGGTTAATTCCTCTTGGACGGTTTTTAATTGCTGACCTGTTTTCTCCAAGTCAGCGAGGGCTTGGGCTTTTTGGTCGCTTAAAGTTTCATAAGCAGTTTCGGTAATCGTTGCGGTTTCCGTTAGGGTAGTTGGAACAGTTTGGGTAGTGATTTTAATCTCTGTTGCGGTTT